AACAGTTCCTGTCCTGAAATCTTGGAGAGGCCATTTTTTTCACCATACAGCAACAATATGCTTTAAATTTGCTAATAATCCTAGCACATAAACCCTCTCCACATCATTTTCTTGTAGATTATGTTTCAGTATATTTTGGTCTGGTACAAGGAATTCATTTGGCACGGCCTCTTCAAGCTCTAGTGTTCCTCTTCTGTACTGCTGAGACCAATCAGTCACAGAGACTTGTGCATAACACATCTGTAGCTGTATGTACCGCATCATCCGATGTGCTCTATCCTTCCATCCTATTGGCAATACATCACCAGGCATGATAACCCCTCTATTTCCCCTGACTCTAAACTGGGTCACATTGTCACAGTGACTATCCTCCTCTGGCTCTTAGAATACTAGTGTTCATTCACTAGCCTAACTCAAGGAGAGCTAAGACTACACCAAGACTTGTTGTTGTTGTTGTTTTTTTTAATCAATTTCCTATCCTAAATATTTGACAACAAACGTAACAAACATCTTTTTGACGTGAACTTTACCACCCTGCGAGAAGAGCCCAACATCAAAAAGACAGGGGCTCCAGTGTCATGAGCTGTCTGTGAGCTCACTCTTTTTCTGTCTTGTGAGAAAAGTCTTCAATTATTGATCCATTATGTATGAGCAGAAAATTACTCTGTATTTGGATAAGTGATAAAATTGTAATGCAGGTATTATAGCCAAATAGCCAATGTCATCTACAAAGTCCCACTTTAGAATTAGATATATGATTCTTGGCACAGCAGTGAAGGTAACAGACAGCAGAGATGATGCCAGGGAGGACAGTGAGTGGTACTTACTTGATTGATGAAAATGACAGTATCCTTTCAAACTAATCAAAACTTTTCCTACAATATTTACAAAAATGGCTGTTTTTCTGAGCTTGTGAAAAGTTGACTTTTTAGAGCTATGTGGTTCTCACAGAACAGCAACACAACAAACATGTGATGACCTTATAGACTATGATGCATTGCTGTAGCTTAAACTACCAAACAGTGCATAAAGTAGATCAAATTAGTTCAACATTAAACATCTACTGCAGTAAAATGCAACATACATATTAATGCAGAGGTAATATTAATCCACAAACATCCTATATAATAGTAAAACACGGTCAAAATGAGTACTTTCTAAAGTTTTGATTTATGTAAATGTTGCTGATACTACTTACATACCTTTACTTAAGTAAGATTTGGATGCAGAACTTTTCCTTGTAGTGGATTATTTTCACAGTGTCATAGTAGTAATTTTACTTAAATTAAATATCTAAATAATTCTTCCACCACAGGAATCAGTTCTTTAAAGTTTGTATGAATAATATGCAAGAATTATGACTGATCAAACAATCTTATCTTAATCATAATCTCTTAGTTATTGGTGGTGGTGGGCTGGTAGTTGGTTCGAGTTATGACACTTTGTCTAAATACAGTATGTATTTGGTTTGATCAAAAACTGACCTGTCTTGCTGTGTGTGGCTCCTGGTAGCTGGGCAGGATCTTCAGCACCACACTGCCGCTCGCCTCCTTCAGCATCTCCTGGAGCACTTTTGGGTCGTTGCCCACCTCCTTGCCGTTCACCTCCTTGATGATGTCACCCACATGGAGCAGACCCTGCTGGTCAATCATGCCGCCGTGGAGGATCCTGGCAATCACCAGCTCGCCGCTCTCCACTCTAAACGTCACTCCCTACACACACGCAGTCAAAATATAACGATCATTTGTTGTGAAGTGGGCCCCTCAGAACAATTACAGTATAACTTTTATTAGGGGTCTTGCAATGTCCTCCGTCGCTCAGCAGTTCAAAAGGTAAGTAGGTGGGGGTGAGGTTGAGTGTTGTGAACAAGCAGCAAATGCGTTGGCTGAGTGGTGAAGCTAATGCAGAAATATCTTAAGCTTTAATAACTGTAATGACCCCTAGATGCTGGCTGCAAAAAATCCAACTGTTCCAGACTTAAATACAGATAGTCGATTTTGTCATTTCTCTCATTTAGGCTCCATTTTATGCTTCTTCACCTTTGAAAAAAGTTGGATTTTGTAGCATCAGTAACTTCCTACATGTTGGCAGGAAACCTAAAGTGTCGAATGACCTTTCAGAAACCTATGAAGGACTCCACAGATAGTTGGCAGAGTTTGTGGGGAGAAAGTGAGCTGATAGAGCACCTGGCAAAGTTATCCCTAAGTCCTTGGTATTAATCAACAGTATGTCAACCTACTGCAGATAAATCACCCCTATTTTGTGCTAGACTGCAGTATAAATCTGACTTGTTTCTCTTTTTAACAATGCTACAAAATGATCTCATTATACTGAGTGCATGTGCCGCTCCCAAAACACAAATCATATCATTTATTGAGGAGCTTCATCTCTTTACAATGTACAGGAGGGATCTATCTTGCCTCACTAATTACTATGGCTTGCTCCTTAACTGCACCGACTTACCAGATGCTCACCAGACACCTTACGGATGCCCACCATCCTGACTGCGTCTGGGGGAACAGGCTGGTTGTTGAGGGCTGCGTCCATGAAGGAACAGGGGCTGGGGGGAGGAGTCTCGTAGTTTTTGGACGCCACAGAATCATGGGTCTCCAGGAGGGACTGTGTGCAGAACAGCAGGTGATGAAAACATGGATGACGGCAATGGCTACAGGAACTTGGTAATAGAATCATGTTATACTGCATCAGGTGTTCCTGCTCCGGTCTGTGCAGAGCTATTGGTATTAGACACAAACTACTGTAGCTCTGAATCAATTTAATCCCTGCTAGCACAATATGCATCATTATGCATGAACATCACTTTGAAAAGTAATCAAAGGCTTAGCCCGAGTGCCTGTTCATCAAAGCTACAGCTTTCTGTCAGATGAAAGCCTTGTTCTCTCACACCTTGAAGTGAGGTTCCTTCAGGATGCGGACCAGCTCATCAGCTGCCTGGCTCCTGTGTGCGAGCGGGCTGAGCTCCTTGAGGATGTCCTGGACTAGCTCCACGTTGTTCTCCCTCACCGCCTCCAGCTTGGGTTCCTCAAACTGCTCGTGAGCCTGGGATTTAATGAGTATAAAACAGATGTAACAGATGCTACTTTACAGTATATACATTTCACAAAGCTCTAGTCTTTGAGAAGGAATTCATAACACTAAGTTCCATAAGTGCTCCTTCTCAGTGAGCAGTGAATGCACTTCGCAGAGTTATAATGAAATGTTTTCTGACTTCTGTGGGACTGTTTTGACTCAGTAATACAGAGCGCAATAACAAACAACAAAAACAGCAACCTGAAACCAACCCCTGCTGAGCACAACACACAGCCTGCACTCATAAATCTTCACTGAACGATACAAAAACCAAGAAAACTAAGCACAAACTTGAGTCAAATCTTGTGCCCTGTGGGTTTTTTTTCTGTGTGCTGCTGTGAAACATCAATATTTCAAGGAACATTCATTTTTCACTTTCTCCTCCTCTGCTGCCAAGGACACAGGGTTCAGTGGTTATTTGACAGGGCTTCCACACCTCTGGTCCAGGGTCACAGATATGAAATGAATGAATGAAATGAAGTTATTTATCGCATCTGGGGCATTTTGGATCATTTTGCATAATAGACCTGGATTTTGGTTTGGTATATTTATGATTTGTGAAAAAAAAAACTAGAGTTCATACCACATACTTCTTTACAAATAAATGTCTTGAGATTTCTATGCTGACAGATCAAAAGGCATCAATAAAATATCACAGATACTGTTTAAACCATTCAAATACGACAGAACCTAATTACATAAACATGCACGTTAAATCATTTACAGTAATAGTACTCTACACCAAGCTGTTTTGTATTTGAAGCTTCGCATTGTCAGACCATCCCACAGAGGCTTTCTCTGGTGGGACTGCCGACTAGTCTGGCAGCCACGTTGTTTGTTTGCTAAGGAAGGGAGGAAGAATCCCTGCTGAGAGACAGGATATGGCGCACGTATACACACAAACACAGATATTCACAAATGCTTACATGTACACACTCTTGCACACAAATCATCATATGTACTGTAGTACACACACCCGCGCAGACAAAGTTATTTTACACATTGGCTAAAACACACACACATTCACAAAGAGCTCTTCAGCCCCTGATCAGTGATTCGGCAGCAGGACTCATTTGGTGTTTTGGCAGAATTCTTTGTAACCTGATGGAGTGAGCTGTGAGTGTCTGGCCCTTGGACAACATGCCAGCATGGACACTATGCTATATGCTTACACTGTTTTGAGAGCCGTGGACCTGACTACATTTCTGTATATCTGCATGTGTCTGCTTTGACACCACTTTCAATTTGTTGGCTATACTTGAAGAGATAAAATTAGTATTTACGTCTTATCATATTTTACAGTTCAGCTGTTTTTTATGATGTTGATACACAGTCTATTATTGATAGCAATTATTTAACAATTACTCTGCTAAGTATGGACATTTGTGACTTTCTACATTCACAAAAGACCCTGCTAATCTACCTTATCTCCACCTCAGATACAAAGGCTAATGAGCATTCCTGTTCCCAAGGCAAAAAGCAAATGACAAAGCGGTGTTATAATATATATAAAGTATTTTGCATCTCCATGTGACATTTCTGAGGGAATCTCTCATTTAGTGAGCTAGCCTTCTCTTTTCCAACGTGAAAATGTAACAGACCTTACCACTCATCAAGGTTGATCAAGTGAGCAATAAAAGATAGATTACTTAAAGAAAGTCATTTCTGAAATATAAAAACTTGAATTCATAATCAATTAAACTCACCCTTGCTCGATACACTAATACAGGGGTTATAACCAGTAGTTTATGATGACTAATGTTAGCAAACTTTAAATAGATACTGCCGTGTAAACTGACATCACTGAGTCAGATCAATAACTATATGACTCTGTTATACTACGTTTTAACATGAGCATTTATCCTGTAATTATCACTTATGGCCATAGTTGGTGTTATACAGCTCAAGTTACAAAGGCTCACTTTAATGCCCCTCTAAATAACAGTAAACGTAATAGACAGTTTCTCACATTGGCTTTGACTGAGATGTATCGTTCAGTAGCTCCTTGGTTTGGTTCTGGTGCAGCTTAATCCATGTCAGTGCAACAGCTCCATTATAAAACAATGTATATTAACACACCATGTTTTGAAGTCATTAGGATTCTCTTTTACATCAGACTGTTACTCCACACTGAGTGCTGCATTAGATAAGCTTTTATGCAGGATTTCTTGTTTTTCTGCACTTTCAGCTAAATGTCAATAGCTAGTAAGAAATGGGGAAATAATTGTCAGGATTTGACCGCAATATACTAAATTGTTTTGCAGAAGCTGTTTTGCATAGAAGTCACCAGAAGTCAGTGTTCTTGGAGGCCACATGGCACTATTTTACAAAGACCATGGAGTCTCATTTACAGTCTGAACAGAGACAATTTGAAGGCTTAGAAGTTAGGTTAAAAAGCACAAGGTACACAGTTAAATTCTAACAGCAAGTGTGAGCTCATTTAGCTGTCCTAAATGCCTCAATAGTCCTGATTGCTCAGTTAGATATAGAGCCAAGCATTGAGTCAGATCCACAGTCATAGCTGATAATGATTGAGTGCTGCGGAAGCTCTTTTGCATGATGATAGCTCCTGTTGTCAATATCTGCTCATTGTGGGCCCAATCATCATTCAGATTCATTATAGAATTGCAGGCTGTGCTGATTGCATCATTCTTTGTTAAGTGTGGTGCAATCAGCACAATTCACTGAAGTCGCCATGCCACATACACACACACAAGCATGGCCCCTTGGTCCATCCCTCTATCCCTCTGTTAGCGTGCTCTTTCCACTCCCAGCACATTAAGTGATAGCTTGTTAAGGGTTTATAGATCGATCATGGGGTCAAGAGAAAGTATTATCTTGGAAATTCTTTTCATATCCTTCAGCGAGGCGTCTTTACTCATAGCTTGCATCAGCAGATTAATCTTTTATGAGAAGGCTCATCAATACACTGGTACCACCTAGAACAAACAACACCAGTGCCATGCTCTTACATGCATGAATGCAGTTTTCTGCAGAGGTAATCAATTGGTCTTCAGAGAAAAGAAACCAAAAACAAAGAGACAGAGCGAGAAACAGGGATGGAAGGGAGCAGAATAAGCTCTGTTTTCAGAAATATGGGAGGCTTTTGATGCAGCACTCCCTGCTGCTCCCTGTGGATAGTCCATCTCCAAATTTCCTGAACAGAACTGTCTCTGAATTACTGAATGAGACTGCACAGCTTTTTACCTCAGGCTTTGTCTGAATCTGAGAAGAAGCTCACAAATGTGTCTCCCTGGGCAGAGCAACCTCATGGCCACAGAGCTCAATGAAAATCAGCTAACACTGGCTGTGCAATGTTAGAGGGATAAATGTGGTAATCCATACTAATGACTGTTGAAAGTATAAAAGGAAAAGGAAAAGAATTAATTTCAGTATGTGACGTGAACTGTGTCTATACTTTTTTTCCTTGCATACTTTTGCAACGCACAGCAGTGTGTTCCTTCTCTTCCACACATTTAAAAGCTTGGTGAAATTGTGCTCTTGGCAAGAAGCGGAAGTGGAAGACTTCGGCACCATGGAAAGAACATGAGGCGCAGTGGGATGAAACTATGAAAAGACTGTCTGCCACTGCTAAGCTCTTTCACTCTTCTCCCGTCACTTCAAAAAGCTGTACTCCAGAACAGCAACATCACTCTCCTCCATGTAGAAATGTAGAACTAGTTGTGACTGGTTTCATGAGAGGAGCTTTGCACAGGGAAATGAATTGAAATACCTGCTTTAATCCAGAAAGTGTACTGTTGCGGCATTTTTGGGAATCAGCTGGAGCCTCATCAAAAAAATCTAAGTGGTAAAGAAAACATGTTGCATGTTGGTCCTCATTAATATAATTACATAATTAATGTTAAAACCGAAATACTGGGGAAACAGCAAGTGGATGTCACTGCTCATGAAGAGGAAAAGTGGTCACATGCAGTGGCAGCAGCATTAAGGTTTGGAAAAGGCGATGAAACTATTATGAAACTAAGGGACTCCTGTTTTGGACCAAATCACAGTTAGAACCATCCATCTGAGTGCTGAAGGGCAAAGCGTGATTCAGCAAAGTCATGTCATAATGGTTAAAGAATTGTACGGATTTCAGGCCAAAGTCCAGAAATTGTGGCGAGACCTCAAACAAACAAGCTGATCGCTCTGACCAAAGCTCTGTGAGAGGATAATGAACAAAAGTGTTGGTTTAACATAGAGTCAAAGTTCCTGTTTTTGTCAGTCAAACTTTGTCTTTGGTTCACAAACATCTAAAACTTTCAGAATCAAAGAGACAGAGGGTGAGTACTGTTTCAACGGCCTGAATCATGTGAATATATATCTTTTTTAAGTTTGTTGTATACCTGAGTTTATTTCAGGGGGAAAAGTTTCTGAGAGCAGTCAAAACAATAAAAGACAATTGCCAGCCATGTCTAAGTTTTCTTGGATAAAGGCATATTCGCTTTGGAATAACTTCACTAATTTGCTTCCATCCAGAACAAGCCTTAATCCAGTGTCTGGGAAATGGCCCAAGAGAAATCTGTACAAATGCAACATGAATTTGAACATTTATCTTGTTCATTCTTACAGATATACAGTACAGGCTGAAAGAACAATGCCTTCTGTATATACCAAGTATGTCTAAGTATTATGGCGACCCTTTTAATCCTTCTTGAGTGCTGTAATACAAGTGCCTTAGTGGTGTGTATGTTAGTATTGTATAGTGTTGAACTTGAAGGTGCAACTGGTTCTATATATTCTCCAGTGCCACTATACAGGATGATATTCAACTACTAGTGTGAGATTGTTGCCACATAGGCATTGATTAAAATCTAGTATCTAGTGAAATAAGTAACAGTGAGTTCCTGGATTCTCGGCTGATCACAGGAGGTGCTGCTCCACCTGCAAATGTCAATGTGTCAAGTATGTCAAGGGTAACTGTGCTTCTCACTAACTGCTATTTCAATCTTTTACTCTGATTGGCAATAGACATGTTGTATTGCCTTGTTAAAATGACTGACAGGCAGAAAACAGTGTAAATGTTAACAGTCCCTTAAAAAGAAAGATGTCTTTTCTGTGTTGCTCTAAATATTGTTATATGCCAAACACATGCAAAAAATACATTTCCAAGTATTTTTGCATCAACATAAAAACCCTAACCAATGTTTTCAGTGACCCAGTCTCTATACAGTAATTATTCAATTACAATCAACACAACGTCAGCAGTTCTCTCTGCTGTGCCGGTTGTTATAAATACATCTATCCTCATCTACTTCATCCACCTTCTGTGTAATTGGAAGAGATGAGGAGGCGAGCAATCTTTAATGGCAACCATTTGCTCCCTTTGTCCCCACTAAGTTTGAACTTCAGCTGAAAATCAGCTGCCGGTGATAGGAAGAGGGGGGTCACTTTCTGACTCTTTACATTTAAGTTTTGATCTGAATTGTTCTGCCTGTGTAGAGTGATTAAAAATAAAAAGCCAGATTTCTCTTTAATTTGCAGTTTTAACTTACGAGAAAACAATGAAGTAAGACCATTAATATGGTAATGTAATTGCATTTGATGAATATAAGCTGTCTTTTTAGGATAATTACTGCAAGCTGAAATTAAAATTTTAAATGTAATAATGGGTGTGAATATTAAGTTTCCATTCTGCAATATAATTTTAATAAATCGTCTCATAACGCATGCAAATCCCACTGAAAACCATCATTTGTTATGTATTATGTGTCAGAGGAATTGACACAAACAAATGATGATACTGAAATCAAATTTTAAGGTTAAAGTCCAGGTGAAATGAAAAATTTAATTTTAACCCTTTAAGATTGCATCCTTGGTTATATTGCACCCCTATTTAACAATATATGCCAAAAAATTGTGTGCTAGCTAGCTAGCAACAGCATAGCTAGCTACCAGAGCAGAGTGTTTCTGGGGGCCGTGTCTCACTAATTACTGTATAAAGTAATAACTTCATCACTTGTACAAAAGCACAACTTATTTTATGAGGAGAATACTGTCTGGTTTTCCAGCTATAGCTGCTGTTAGCCAGTGGCTACCACTACAAGTCCCTCCCGGAAGCAAATAGTGCTCTGATTTCCTTTTCATGTGGCAAGAGTGCAAAATGCAGTGCAAAGACAGCACTGCCATTTAACAAAATGCATTCACATTGTAAATTTGCATGCAAAGCAGATACACTGACTGGCATTCATTTTATTATAAGTAGCCTGTGTTGTTGGGGATGTAATTGTGATTTAGTTATATTACAGTTTAAGTTTTTTCTCTGTGACTCAGCCATTGGTCTGTCTATCCCTGGACACAGTCCAATTAAAAGTTCTGAATGTCAGGACTACTTTGTGTTTGTCACTAAATTGGACTTTCTGTTCTATCCTTTTTTGAAATAAAAAAAAACTGATAACAAAAAAGGGCAAAGAAATCTCTCTCTCTCTCTCTCACACACACACACACACACACCTCTCATACATTTAATATGTATGTATGATGTAAAGTCGTTCTCACCACTGGGCTCTCCATGATGCCTTTGAGGAAGATGAGGTCCAGGTCGTTGGCAGTTGTGGAGCTTGTGCTGTCACTCAGTGTGTCCAGGGCCTGATGCATGGCTACAAACACACACACAAAAGAAATTTTATTTAACTCCCATCCCTTTTCCATATGTTACAGTTACCCATGGGAAATAGACTGAGTAGATCACTTCTTCTCTCAAGAAAGAGAGTGAGAGAGAGCATATTTGCGGTAGTTCACACTACATGGCTGAACGAGAGGAGTCTGGAGGAGAAGTGAGCTGGAGGGAGGAGGGCCATGGGAGATGTCTCACTTCCTTTCCCAAGCAATTTCACCTCTGTCAGTCACCCTACTCTTAAGTCTGTCAGAAGCGACAGTATCTCTCTCCCACAACTCCCAACTTCCTCCGTCTCCTTCCAGCGCACATGTTCACACACACATGCACATACACATACAGCAGTTTAACAACAACAACAAAGTTATATATAAATAGCATTACTGATAAGCCTGAAATACATGCACACACACGCGGCCTTGTCTCAAGGATGTCAAATCAAACTGCTCAACCACAGACATCACTCAATAATATGACCAATCAATCAGCAGGCGTCAGCAACTCACAATGAAGGTCGGGGAAGGTTCAGTCTGGCTTCAAAGCATCTCTACTGACTTTGAGTGTGACGCATTAAAAGGTACCAACAGACACTGACATCACCTACCAGCAGGCATTTATCACAGCAGACATTTTATTCACAGGGAACATTTGTCTGCTGTAATTCTCTCAACAGACACCAAGGTCTTTGTTTTTCAAGCTACAAATACAACATTGGCTTTTAATTTTCACAAAGCAGGCAGACTGGTGGTCCATCGCAGATCCTGCATGGCCCACTCTGTGGTCTCATGTCCTCATAAGGGCATGACAGAGCCTGAAGAGGTGATTGGACCAATTAGAGAGACAGCGTCCCAGCTGCTTTCTATGGACTAATTCTAAGCATGTTTTATGGAAAATTATGTAAATGAAAAGTATACTTATACTTAGTATACTATGAAGTATACTTGGGATACTAAGTATGCATTATGAAATAATATTCCCACGCTGTAATCCACAACAAAAAATGGAGGTGCTACTGACAGCTTTGTGAAAACATGAAAGTATCGCAGCTCATGCAAAGTAACAACACATGAAAAAAACATTACTTTGTAACTGGCAGTAATATTGAAGTTGTATTGATGCCCGGCAGCAACCATCTTGATTTCTTGCACAAAGTACAGCTGAAGCCGATGGGAAAGTATTTTATACATACAACAAAAGATTGGAGGAAAATACAATTTTGACCCGATGATGGTGCAACGCGAAAAGTTAAGGAACCATCAAAGCTATTACAGTTCATCATGAATGTCTGAACCAAAATACATGGCAGGCAATCCATCCAAAAGTTGTAAAGACACGTCACTAAGAACCATAAACGTCAACTGACTGGTGGTCAAGAGGAAAAGTCAGACAGAAGACTGAAGTTAGTAGGATTCATCCTTTGGGGGCGATAACTCTATACCATATAGTCTATGGTCTACAAAATGTAATGGCAATCCACCCAACAGCTGTCGAAATATTTCAGTCTAGACATTGGCATCCATCCAGCAGTGGCACCACTGGCATGACTACAAATGACCCAAAAAGTATTACTTAATGAAAGAATTCAGATTTTTTGTGTGAAATGAAAGACTATTTGGGATCATGAATAAGTCTCTGTAACCCGGAGCACCATTACTCTATTCCGCTGTTTAATTGATGTGCAGCCTGAAGCTTCTCTATTGACAATAAACAACAAAATGACTTTGTAGACTCCAATGCTATCGACTCTAACAGAAAATGTTTTCTAATTCCCCTACAATTATCCCCTTTGTCACCAAACGTGGCACTTCAAGTTAATATTACATAGAGAGGAGTGAAAACACAGGTCAGGAAGGAAACAACAGATAAAAAGAGTGTGCATTGATGCTGTTCATTTGAACATGTACATTTCAGTAGCAGTCATGGTTAACACACAACAACACTAGGTGTGTGTTTCTGTGTGCAGTTCAGGTCTGTCAAGAAGCTGGCAGATGATTTATGTATCTATTGCTCAGCAGAGCGGAGTGGGAGTTTTTTTAAGGTGCTTAAAGAGGAGTGATGAGGTAATAGATATTTTGAGAATGAACAGAAAACTATTTTTGGTTTTCTTTTGTGGCGTTTTGGACTTATTTTTACATTTATTGTACATCCATTTACAAACAGTTACCAAGACAAAAAACTATCCCCATCTTTGCTTTCACTGAGGAAATAAGAAAGCCATAAAGGCAAGAAGGCCAGAGGAAGATGACCTTGATGATTACACAGTCCATCCGCCCTCTCTCTGAATAATTTGATAAGTAAATCAAATAAATAATTACACAAGTCTTCCGCAGTGAAGTCTTGTTTTTCTTCTGTTTTCCCTTGAACAGCAGCTCTGCTCCAGCAGGAGAGTTGCCAGATTTGCGCCTGGCACAGAATATCAGACCAGCAGGCTCGGCTTACAGGTCCTGCATAATTCTCTTTAATCACCGCAACTGTACGCCGGTGTTGTTGCCATATCGGCACTTTTCCCGATGTTGATCTTGTCTCCACTTCGCCTACGTGTGTGTGGATTTCTTTTTTTTTTTACTTTCTACTTTTTGGGCTTCTTATGTTAACTTTCTCTCACAGGCCCATGTTGTCTTATATATATTTACAAATGCCGTTAGTAATTTTCTTCTTTCCCCTTCTGACAATCAAAATTGACAGGCGCTTCTCCACACTGCATAGGGGATTTTGAAAAGGAACATCAGGAAAAAGGAAAGGTCTTGACTTGCTTTTAGATATTGATATCGTCAGTGTTGGAAGTCACAGAGGAATCACAAGGAAGGTGTGAAAAGGACTAGAGAAAAATTTTCCCAGCACTGGGTATGCCTGGGGTCATTCTATTGTTCATAGAGATTATTAAAAATCCAACATGTCCTCCTTCATAAGTCTTGCTGCCCTTCTTCTCTCTACATACATAGATAAATGAAGCTCAGTGCAAGTTCAATCAGGAAGACTATCTTTATATCTCATTAATTTACAATTCTATCTCACTAATCACTCTCCGTCTTAATCAGCCCACTATGGGTGTTTACTCTTTCAGTTAAAGCAATCAGACATTGCCACAATCTTCTCCAGCCAATCATGTTGCTTTAAATCTGTTCACCTCTCTGCTGCTTTCAGCTGCCATTTTAGTGCGATATCGTTGGTACCCTCCTCCACCGCATTCACCTCCAGTTCATCATATCCAGTGCCCAGGTTGAGCTCATCAGAAGTCCACTCCTCATCACATCCAGATCTTCAGCCATTGTCTTCATGCCTCCAATTGTGACTAGATGATGGGGTCTAATTGCTAGACCTTTCACATATTTCCTCTTTATTGTGTCACTTAAATATATTGGTTAATTAAAAAGGAAGTCTCTCCTGATTGAAACTGGATTGCTTCCCTCGTGTTCACTGGCGAGCATCAAAGCAAAAAACGATGGATTGGCCATGAAGGTCAAAAGTTCTGAATGTCAGACTAAGATGTCGTATTTATTTTCCATTTTTCTAACTGCAACTTTCTTTTGAGAATAACTCTATTTAGTATTCAGGTGGAGTATGTTTCATCTTATATACCCCACTGTCAGAGCTATCCTCCCTTGCATAAACCTGCATAAACTTAAAAAAAAAAAACACTGCACAGGCGAATTTTGATCTTTCTTCTTCTCATGTCTCATATCAGCTTCAAAGTTGCACGTAGACATTTGCTTAATAATATACTCAGGTTTTATTCTTCCTCTGAGCTTTTACAGGTGAGAACTCAGGCGAAAGTCATTTTCTGCTTCAGTGAATCTAAATTCCCTATACTACATATTGTAACTTGATACCATTAGAGAACTCCATTTAGCAGGTGATGGCTTAAGAGCACAAAAAGGAACTCAGGTGTACAGACAAACTGAACCAGCTACATGTACGCTGTGTGCTCTACAGAACCTGCTCTTCCTGGGAAATGTTGTAAAGTTTAAAGTTCTTTTCATGCTTGAGTAGGCCTTGTTTTTACAGTATATTAAAACTGTGCGTCTCCCGGATTTTATGTGGGAAACTCCTGAAAGAGGAGTCTCAGTAGAGCGGATAAATAATTATGACGTAATTCAAAAGTTCCCAAGAGACTGAGATGGTGCATACAAAAGTTAACAACTAGAGAAGAAAACTGACATTTAAGGAAGCCATCAAACATTGTAATTATTCATTTAGTTTTAATACAGCTTTAGAGAAAAGATTAAATGCTACGCTGTCAGCAATGTGTCATTCAACTAACACAAATTTATAATACTAACACACTGTGGTGGCTTCCTGCATCACCTCTGAACAAAGATTACCAGAATGACAGCTTCCTTGCCATGGCGATGGCACAAAGGACATGTAATCACAAGGAACCCAAATTAAAGGTAAAGGCTTTTGTCTCCTAAAGCCTCATTTGAGCACTTCTTCACCTCCAAGAAGAGTTGCAATTAAACTCAATGTCATGGAGCCAGACAAACAATCTGGGCTGTTATTGTTTGTGGTTAAAGCACAGCGGGGGAACATGAACCTCTTAGCCGGCACTTAGTGAAGGTTGTTCAGTTGCTATGCAGCAGCGGCTAGGGAAACAAAGAGAGGATGGAGAGGGGAGCTGAGGGAGGGTGGAACATGGAGGAAGAGATGTGGGACATGCAGTTGTGTTGGTGTTTCTTCAGGCTCGATCCTCATGGGATGTTAAACACAGTGGAGTACAGTGTGCAGCTGACTCTTTCTACTTCCACTGTCTGGCAATAAAAACAATCTGGTCTGCTGCAATTTCCTGAGATAAACAAACAAAGTCAGAAAATGCAAATACAATTAATGCTCCATCCAGAAGAATCCAGCGAAAGAAGCACAATTACATATCAACAGGTAAAACCATAAACTAGCACAGTAGGTGTTTGTTTTTGGTTTCCATCTATTCCTGGGGGGCTCTTTAGCCACTAGTTGCTAACCTTGTCTATCTGTCTGTCAGTTTGC